AAAAAAAGGAAAGGAAAGGAAAGGAAAGGAAAGGAAAGGAAAGGAAAGGAAAGGAAAGGAAAGGAAAGGAAAGGAAAAGAAAAGAAAAGAAAAGGAAGAAAGAGAAAAAAGATAGAGAGAGAGAGAGAGAGCGAGAGCAGGGCGAGCGCGCATGTGCTATGGAGGGCTTACTGGGCTCTTGTCCTCCTCTTGTCCTCCGTGCTGGGCTCTGCGGCTGGGCCTTGTTGGGCCTTGTCCTCCTCTTGTCCTCCTCTTGGCCGCGCCCTGAACTCTGTCAACTCTGTGGCTGGGCTCTGTGGCTGGGCCTTGTCCTCCTCTTGTCCTTGTCTTGGCGGCGCCCCTGAACTCTGTGGCTGGTCTCTGTGGCCCGGCTTACTGGAGAGGAGTATGGCCGAACAAATAGCGATGTCAATGCCGACAAAAATTCACTGATGCAGTTTGCTCTTGGGGTGAAAGTAGGGCGTACCAAGAAATCGATTTTTGACTAATATTGGTCAACCGTTTTGAAGCTGTTTGGGGTCTATGCTTGTATAATTTGTTGTTGTTTTAAATACCCTGTAAGAACATGTAATTATCTTCAAGTGTCCCTTTGCAGCCTTTCCAGTCAATGGGTTTCGTCCTTTCTTGGACTTCGTCATCACTGGGTGCCCCATACAGGTGTCTCCAGCTCACAAAGGCGTGTGGCTCGACCTGAGTCGATCGATCCGGCCCATCCGGCTGGCAGGAGTCCAGCAGCCAAACCCGAAATGAACAGTCCACCCGAAAATGCCAAATCTCATCGGGTTGTCGCTGTTCACAAAGGGCAGGCCTATGGAGCCCAGCCTCCATAGCCAACTCAGTCTGAAGATTGACCAGACATTGCTTGACTTCATGTTACGAGTAGTGCCAGAGAGAGTCGAACTGGCGTGACCGGTCTCACCAATACCTCTCATATGTTCTGATCATACCAAAAATATGGACCACATAGACTGATCCTCAGTTGATATTGAAACCAACTGAAGCACTTTTCAAGTCTCACCTAAGGCCACAGTTCGCCAGGGAAGAAAAAGAAGACAACTTTTAGAGACGGGACGACGTGCATTTGAGTCGGGTCTCCCGAGTGAGCTCTGATCTTCATTGACTTTCGTTGTTGCTTTCTTTGCTGTGTCTGCCAGGTTGGTCATCAATTATTCAGACACCCAAGTCTGCAAAGTCCAACAAACTTCTTAGAATTGCGAAACCGAGTCTTTGCTACTTACTTAGTACGGCCACTTGCTGAGCGCAGTCCCAACATGTCCCAACCATGCATCGACTAGCGCCTGCCTGTCTAAGCGCCCACACCTGACGATGCATTCCAAAGGTCCACATCACGCCCCAAGCCTCCAAGCCCGACAGTGGGCAGAAATGAAGTGCGGGAAGTCTTGAGATAAGAAAAAGAACATGGGCTTGAACAAGCTGACCCCAAACAATACACTTGTACAGTGGGCGCAGTAGCCCACGTTCCAGAGCTGTGGGCCATGTGTTCCATGGACTGCATCGCACAAAGCTTCGCCGTGGACAAGTCCGACAGGAACCGCCATTCAGAAACTCTATCGTGCCAACAGTGACCACGCAAAAGGACTCCAAATGAATCCAACAATCAACAGCCAAACAACACGTTGTCCTCAGGGGTTGAGATTGGTGTGCCCCGTCGACTGACTTCTCAGAAATGGCAAACTCACCCTGTCGCTCCAACGATCGCCAGGTCAAACCATGTCGCTCCAGGGATCTGGCCCACGGCCAAGTTGTCATCCAAGGACCAGTCCAACAAGTTCAAATAGTAGTCGTCCTGGCTCAGAAGTCCGGCTGTACATCGATTCACTGTAGATAGATGGCGCGAAGAAGAGACTCGCTTTTTTCATAGAATCAAAATATTCACACTTCATCCATCTTCATCCACTCTCTTTCTTTCTTCCTCTTTCCTTCTTCCGTCACTTCCCCTGCCCCGCCCCAAAGCTCCGCACGCCCAGCGTGCGGTCCTCGAGACCAGGAGCCGAGAGAACCTGACCGAGACGAAGACCGGCCCGGTCGATCCAGACCGAGAGACCGGCGGAGAGACGTGGTGATGTGTTACCTGAGATGGGGACCAAATAGGGTAGATGTGGAGGCAATTCCTATTAGGTTGGAAGCCATCTCTACTACCAGGTGTCCCACATGAGAATCACCTGTTACAAGATCAAGGCATGCTCGGAAGAAGGGCACAAGGGAAGCCTCCTCCGGGGAGGCCGAAACACTCCACAAAATCACTCCAACACCTGGTGATTTGGGGAAAACACATCACATCCAAGACATGACCCATAATTACTCACCCATATAGGAGGCCGAATGACCTATACTGTACTCACCCATCCTGGTCACCGGGCCACACCTTGTACGGGGCTGACGGGAAGCGTCGCGCCACCTGGTTTTCACCGGTCGAACGGGTGTGGAACCACGGCAGTCACCGTCATGTGGAAAGTGGGCTTACCTGATCTTGCCTGTCCTTACTGCTAAGGGTGGAAACCGTTGGGGGTTTTGCAGTAGTAGATCCCTTATGAACCAAAGGGGCTAAGGGTCTAAAAGTGTAACAAAGGGAGGTATAGTGATTCTCACATGTCGAAGACATGTTGGTTTTGCCTCAACGACACCTGCCCTGCAAGTGGAGGTGAGGGAATGAGATTGGCTGCTTCATCATGCGGATGTCCAAATGAATGTGTTTCATCTGAAAAAAGAAAGAGAAGAACGTCAGAATGGTCAGAATTCAAGAAACAACTCTGAAAAGAAACAACTCTGAGTCAAGTTCTTCATCGAACACTTCAGCCCATCTGGCTAGTGAAGCTCTCGCGTTCGGCCTTGCGGGGAGTCTCCAGGCAAGTGCTGGCACTGAGTAGGGCTGTCTCGGCTTCCTGCGATCGATGAAAAGAGGGTCTGGAAGGTGGTCGATGAGGCTCTCAATTCCAGGAAGTAGAAAACACATTTAAAAGAAGGGTGAATGAACAAACCCCCCTCCCTCTCTCTCTCTCTCTCTCATGTCCAAGCAGGGCTTCTAAATGCATACGAGGATATATGCGGCATAGTCAAGCTTCCCCCATGTGTGTTTATTGGTGGCAAAGTTCTTCACGTGGACATCCCTAAGGACCCTATAGGGACTGGACCCCACGCACACGGAAGATCGAAACAAACCCGTGTTCTTTTCAGTGGTGAAGCACAGGTCGCTGGCTGGGCGGTGAACACCCGCAGTGAACACCCGGGTCCTTCACCCTAGTAGGTTGACCTCTTGCATGTTCGGTGGTCCACCCAGGTGTTTGGCTCCCGGAACCGGGACGAACGATAGATCCAAGCCCACCCTGGGCACCTCTGCCTGGCTCTTGTACCGGAAGAGCCCGCGTTCGGGTGTGCGCAAAGACAGTTCGTCCCTGAAGGCCGAGGTGGGAAAACACTTTACTACTAGCTTCCTTGTTACTACTAGTAAGGCACTTGTTCCTAGTAGCTTCTTTGTTTTGGGAAGTAGATGGGCATGGTTCGTTTGGAAGACTCCTTTTCCGTCAGAAACAGGGAGTTGTTGTTCCACGTAACCATGTGAGTGAGTCTTCTGAGTCTTCGGGGCATGTTCCACGTCGCCATGATTATAGTTGTTGGGCCTGAAAGGAACGAGAAGTTGATACACTTGCAAGCCATTCGCCCCATCTCCGGAGGGATAGACATTTCTTCGTTCTTCATCGCGATTGAAGCTGGTTTAGGGGAAATGTAGGCATTTCTGGACTCCAGGCATGCCGGAGACCCTTTTCTGGCTCTGGCTCTTTGCAAGTACCAGCTTGAGGATTTCTGGAACCGTCTTGTTGGTGACTTTCTAGGTCAGCTTGTACGTCTTACGTCAGTTCCCTCCGGTCATTCAGAAAACAAAGGGCGCCATCTCCACCGGGTTTCCGGTTCTGGTTCTGGACCGATCTGCAGACAGTCTGGCCAGGCCAGGGCCCCCATGACCATGATCCATGCGCCAGCTGGCTGTTCAGGGTCTCCGATCGGCTTCTTGAAATCAAAGCATTCATTTCGGCAACCATCATCCAAACCGGTCCGATCGGGCCTTCCCCACCCAAACGTTCGTCCCGCCCCCGGAGGTCGGGCCGTTCAGTTCCCACACTAGCCGGTGAGGACAAACCCAACCTCAGACATCCAGCTTGGGCACGAAAATCAGGCTCCTTACAGCTGAAGTGGCGTGTTATGGGGAATTCGCATGAATTCTACAGGTTTGAGGTGATCCTGCTTGCGGCACCTTGAGGTTTGAGGTGCTGTTCACTTCCGGGCAGCCGGGCCACGGAAACAGCCTCGAGTTATTGTAGAGATCCAGGGCAAAGTTAAAGTATGAGGCTATGGGCCGTGGGTTAAAACTCTGTAGCTGAAGAGAATATTCTCCAGATGGCTTTCACCCGATGCACAAATGAATATCCAGGCTTTCAAAGGAAAGTCCATTTCTTGGGCATAAGTAAGTTTTTGTGAAGTGCAAATCAATGGGAAGCTGAAGTGCTTCTTCTTTGCTTGAAGCTGAGCTTCAAAGCATTGCTTTACACCCCCGTCTCTACCCGCTACCTGCCCCCTCCTCCCACGTCGCCAACTGGGTGTTCCCTAGCAGCTCACTGCGCAGCAGCCGGGCGAAGGCGGCCGGATCACCATCTCCTGGAAAATGCCAAGCCAAGACACTTGTTACTAGTAGCTTCTATCTACTAGTAATGCCGCCCTTGTTACTAGTAGCGATGCACTTGTCACTAGTAGCTTCTAGCCACGACCCCCAAGCCACACTGGATCCATCACCGATGATGCAATGGCTCTCAGGTGGTGTGTAAAAGAATGCTTAATCCATTGGTCATCCATTGAGGTCCGCCAGCAACGGCGGTGTCAAAGAAGGCTCACAATTGCAGCAATATCCAAGAAGTATCAAGAAGTGAGAAGAGCAGCAGACAGCTGAAGTGAGAATATCTCTGTAATCTTTCTAGTCACCCAAAATCATGGCCTAGCACGGGACATGTTCAAAGCTCTCAAGAGCCCCTACCTCAGCAGTGCATCCTCCAAGCGCAGAGGCTCAAACAGACACAACTCAGCAGACACTCGGGCCTTTGGCACTGGTCGTGGCGGTTGACGCATTTGGAGGCCCATTCTCCGTCAGCCAGTCGAAGCCGGTCTCCTGCACTGGAAACCGGGCCACATACCCAACAGACCTGACGGCTACAGATGGAAGTGAAGCAGCGCAGAGGAAACTGGTCCGCTGGAAGATCACTTAACTTGCCCACTTCTGGGATGGAAAGAGGGTGTTTGCTCACAATTGAAACCCCAAATGCTGCTCCTTTGGCCCGATAAGAACCCTCAAACCCACCTGTCAGCCCCAATCATCCGCACCCTATGCGAAGTTCCCATGAGAGAGTGAGATAATCGTGCTTTGAAAGGAGATCGCCTCCAACCCTGTGGCCAATCATCAATTGGTCTCCATGGTCTCTGACCCCTGCGATTGAGGTTTTGGAAGAAGGTCTTCTTCAATCAACTTCGTGGCTTAAAGGCTGCGCCTCAAAAGGTGTCCAAACACCAGGTTGCGTACCACGTCGAGCATCACTTCCAACGCTGGACGTCTCGCTCCCCCGGTGTCGACCGCGCTCCACCGCTCCAGATTCGATCCCGCACGGGATGGGATAAGACGATCACTGTACCTGGAGCGAAGACGATCACTGCCAGCTTCTCTCTGGACTCGCACCACGAGAAGTAAGGCCGGTCCGTGGATACTTCAGCTCAGATGGAATCGGGACGTGAAGCGATCAGATAACCTTGCACATGTTCTCACAGGGTACCTTCATTCAGTAACCCCCAGATGCATGTCTTTCAACCTTTCGGGCTCCCCCACTCACAGAACTGCAGCTGCTTCAGAGGCGTCCGGGGCGGCGTCAGCGGGCTGGGCCTTTCTCGTGCCAATGGGCCCAATTCAAAGGCCTTCTGCTGGAAGCCAGGCTTTTGATATCTGTCGCTTTGGGAAGGAATGGCAGATTCGATGGAGCTCACTGATCTCACTTGTGTCCTACGGGATGGACAAGATCCATGATGTTGGCCGGGGCCTTGAAATGGCCTTTCCGAGCGGCCAGCAATTGGGCAGATTGACCAACTCCGGGAGGGCAACAGGTCATCCCCATTGAGTTTGCTATCATACTGTGCTCCAAAGCTGCGATGTGAACCGATCCTAAAGATTCTTCATCCAATTTCATCCAGCACTTAGGAAAGAATGCTGAAAACTACTTCCCATTCTCGTCCCTTCCACAGGGTTCCTACTAAACCTGCTTTCCTCCTTACCATAAGTGGGTGCCCTGGCCATGGGCATCGAGGCGTGCTCGGCGGCCTCAGGGCAAGAGTTCACTCCAGACCTTTCGACTCCTGAAGACCTGAGTCCCTCCCCCACAACACAACTCATGCACCTCCCGACTATCTGTCAGTTCATGTGCATGGCCGCATGGCTGAAAGGCTTTCCAAGTAAAGCCACCCTCAAGAGTTCTCAACCTCTGCACGACCGACGACCGTCATGGCACTTTCACTCGCAGGTCTTCCACGAACGGGCCGTTCACGGGCTTGTTGCCGATCGGGCTCGATGCACGGCTGACTGGTCTAGGAACATCCTTCAAGACATCTGCAGAGTCATCGGACAGTCTCCAATGCGCCACCGGACAAACAAGGGGACCCCCCAAATTGCAGACTCATCTACCGAACATGCCTCTTTGGGGGCAAAACAGTCACCCATGGCGCGTGATTGTCAAAAGACACCTTGTTGAAATCCCTTTGATGTTGAATGTGGGGCAGAAGATACTGTTAGCTTATTTGGGTATATAAGAGAAAACATGTTATATGTAAATGTATGTCTGCGTGTGTGTGTGTGTATATATATATATATAGATTGTGTGGTACACAATTAAACTTCTGCGCTTTGGGCCTGTCATGCACTGTGGTCGTGTGTTTTTCCCACCGAAGAGGCCCGACGAAGACAGACCCACACACCCCGCCAAACTGATCAAATGGGGTCGTGTGGCTTCAATGGTTTGACCCCAACCATATTTGCTGATTAAAAGAGTGACATCTGTGCCCCTTGCTTCAAGCTTCGTGTCGTTGAGGGATGAGTCCCAAGGTTTTATTCTTGCGTCATCAGCGTCCCACGTCTTTCTCATACACCAGACGCAGACGGTGGTGCGAACAGGGTGTGGTGTCGGCAAGCGCTGTCGAAGCTCCAAAAGTGCAACACCACATAGCTCGAGAAGCTTAGGAGTGCAGTCAACAAAATTCTAGAGAATATGATATGGCGCATTCTAAAAAAAATGCAAATGGATCGAGTTGATCCACTTGAAGAATATTGAGGACACTCTATTATGTTAGGCTCTACATGGCTCTACGTCCTTGTTGATGCTCAAACGGCCTTTCAATGTCATATTCCCCATGCTGGACATTGAGTCCCGACGTGCAGGCAGGGCCTGCTGGCCTGCTACTGAGGCCTGATGTCGACACCACAAACCTAGCTACCTCAAGGGCTGCGTGGATGAGACAGCAAGGGAGGTCTACTTCCCACGGATTTCGTTGGACGTGTGTTCGTGGAAAACAGGTCTGGACACTTGGTGGGAAGAATACACCCTTCTCAGGGGTCATCATAAGTCAGAAGGAAGCCTCAGTACCGCACCACCCAAATAGTAACCTTTCGACATCAAAAGCTGCGTATGTCTTCTAAACAGTTCTAAACTAACGTATATGAACCTCAAGCTATGACTCAGCCACAAAATCTCAATCTCTCCCACCACGCAGCACTAACTTCAAATGCTCACCCACTAGCTATACAGGATCAAGAGGGTGCTAAGCCTTGATAAATTCAGACCAGAGAGTCAAAGGGGAAAACGATGCCGACACCGGTGACGTTCGGCGCCTTGGGCCCCTTCGCTTCTGCGCCCGACTCACGTAGCCGGCTCTGAGACCGACGAGGCCGTGTCTGCATGTGTCTGCCCCTTTGACCCGGACGTCTGCGGAGGTGAAACACGATGTGAACGATCCTCCGATGGGCAGCACGGAAGGCGGCGCCAGGAAGCGACGTGCGTGCGTGCTTCACCCGTGGGCTTAAAGGTTCAAATCCTTCAGCCACTTACCTCGGCCAGGCATTTGGTCGAGGCAAATCCTCTGAAACCTGAAGACTCCACTCTCGCAGATCTAAGTGAAGACCTGACTTCCACCTATCAGGTCGTGTGACATGTTCTTTTCATGTCTTTTGCAGTCATATGACTGCGTATTAAAATAGGGAGAGACCTCCTGGAAGAAGGAAAATCCATCAAAACCCATTGGTTGGGGATCTCCCTATCAAAATACACACCCATATCCCTTTCCAGACCAACTCTGAGCCGTCTGCGTACACCTTGGAGTTCCTGCCATCACCTGCCAGCTCTTCATCGGCTGCGCTCGTCCTGCACCAGTTCCCTCCCGCCCAGGTCATTCTATCATTTGGACCCCCAAATAGATATAGAAAGGTTTCTTCTAGCTGTTTGGGGCATCACAATATATTAATTAATATATACATATATATATATATATTGATAATGTTTGCTGCAGGAGTCGTTTCTGTTTGTTTCACCCAAAGACCAACTTCACTTCGTTGGACAACTTCGTGAGCATCGTGAGCGCCTCGCCCAATGAGACGAGGCCAATGCAGCACGGCGGCAGAGCCTCGATACTGCGATGGATACAGCGAAGCGTGTGGCAGAGTCACCGGTGCAGTTCGCGGCATTCGACGAGATGTTGGAGGTGTTTTCCTCCTCCGTTTGATCTGATTCTGTTCTATCTCGACATGCCAAAGGTCCGTACTTCAAGACCTAAAGCAAAGACCGCACTTAGGACACTCGACACTCTGATCACCAAGTGAGTCTGCTAGTCGATTCTGTTCATGTTCGGTCAACAAGGGCCTCTCCCAGGTGGCTCGCGTGGCTCCCGTGGCTCCCGACTGTCAGGCTCCATGGCAATCTCCAGGTCTGGGTCGATCTGGCGAGGCATCTTTTTGGGTTCAGAAGCCTAGATATCTCTGGTTCAGAGTGCCAAAAAAAGAAACAGTTGGCGCAGGTCTCCTGATGTTGGAGATGGGATCATCATCTGCCCATCCCCAGTTTGACTCACTTGTTTTCGGGCTTCGGTGGCGCTCCCCCATCTTTGGATGCGTAGGCCCCAAGTTGAAACTCAGATTGGCTGCAACCACGAGATGATCTTCTTGCTCTTCCGAGGCGGTGTCCTTTTTGGAGCCACATGATTCATCCCAGCTGTCGAATCATCCCACTGAGTCTCTCAGTGTGGCTTTTGTGATGCGCAAACACTCCAAGGAACACATGCAAAGTGCAAGACCCTTAATAAGGGGTTGTAGAGGAAACACAGTCGTGTGTGGAAAACAGTCATTCCACACATTCGCAACAGCTAAAAACGTGCATGGCTCAAAGACTCAGAACATTGGAGCCAGTTGTCGATCTCCGGGTGTTGTCGAACTCCGGCTGGTTGAAGGTGTATTGTTTGGAAGCGCGTCGTCGACCGACGACACACCGCGCACCTGGTCTTCCGCGCACTTCCAGAGGAAGTGACACAACCTGAAGGAAACAGGGCCTCAAACAGGAAAACAAGTTGGACCAATCTCAGATTCGTCTCCAATCCACCGTCGAGACCAATCCCAACACCAAGCTCTGTCAACATTGGCAAACTTGGCCCAACCAACTTCAAAAGGCAAGGTCGAACTCACCCGCTTTTGGAAGAAGCAGCAGTTATGTAACCCTCCTCCACAACGAACCAACTTGGTTTGTTATTTTGTTGTGCTTTCCCCTCTGCGATCTGGGAGATGTGTGACATGAGGCTCGCTCATCTGTGATTCCTCCAAAAGCCCACAGAATCCAAAAGCCGCCCATTGGCGCTGGACCCACGGATCTCTGCTGGTCCCCTCCCCTCCCTTCGCTCCGCCGCCAGCGTCCTTCGCTTCACTCCAGGGCGCCGGTCGATGAAGACCACCACCAGTGCCAAGACGACGGCCCGTCCCAGGCGGCTGCACAGAAGCACATCAGCCGCAGACTGGGCCACGAAAAGAAACGAAACGCGAGACACGCAGCCCACCGGAACTCGAACTCAGTCGGTGTGGGGTAAATTGGGGTGGGCTAGATTGCAGCCGAAGGAGTTTTGAGGGTTTGGAAGGCGTTGCTGAGACTGTCGCATTCTCAAACATATCCTTTGCTTCTCGTGTCTTTCTAGGGACCTCCATTCGACCCAATCGTACACAGAGCTTTGGGGCATGCAGCTTGGGAGCTGTCTCAAGGAAGCCTGGACTACAAAGGTGGGTAGCTGGTTACTGAGAAAAACTCACCAACCAAAGTGGAAAACCACCACCTGTGTTTGTAGAGAAGAATGATCTTCCAGTAAACCTCTCTTCCACGTCACCCTAATTCTTGTCTTCGGGAGTGCAGCACTGCACTGGGGCAGACGTGCCACCGTGGAACACGTCACTTCGGCCCCGAACGAAAGGCCCTTGGATGAAAAACACATGTGATCGGATTCGAACGGATGGATCCTCCGGTTGTTTCCCAGGTCAAACGGAGTGAAAGTACTTGAGGCTTGGTTTGAAGTGATCCCCAGAAGTACTGCTTGTGACTCAGGGTTCAAGAGTGAGACTTCTTGTGCCTGGGCCCCATCCGCAGGGCCAGAGCCGGGCTGGGAGGAGATAGAGCCCAATTTCGGCTCCCATGGTTACACCTCATCGCTTCTTTGAAGGCGCTTACAAGTGCTAAGAGAAAGAAAAAAAAAGGATCCTGGAAGATCCTGGTACAAAAGAAACGATACAAAAAGGAGGACCAGGCCCTAGGCCGACGTTCGCAACGCCTTCCAAAACTCCCGTTCGCTCCTTTGGGGCCCGCCTTCTCAAGGGCTTGAAATTGCACTTGCCGCGCCATCAACTCCATGGCACTTATCAAGGCTCTCGACGCCGGAAGACGAACGACTCTCTTGAGTGGAGGCTGCCCATCTTGTTTGCCGCTGTCACATGAAGTTATATACAGTAAGTGAATTTGAGAGTGGAAATCCTTTTCGTTCTTCGTGTTTCGTTGGCTGCCAACCCTTTCTGGACGTAAAAAATGTCGAAGAATTGCTCTGTTGAGTGGCCGTGGAGGTGAATTTGTCAATATGTTTCTGGTCGATTTGATCATTCCACTTGGTCCTCAAGCTGAAGCCACACATAGAAGCGTACGTCTTTAGAGGATGCAAACTCACTCAACCACCATGAGCCTAAGGGGAAAGCTGAGATTCACTTTTCTGTGATTTCCAGGTTCTGGTCAGCTTTTTCACTTCTGCGTGCAGCAA